AACTTTTAAGATTTTGAGGAAACTCCATACAGTAGCTGCACAAGTCTGTAGTCCCACCATCAGAGTACTAGGGTTCCCTTTTCTCCATATCCTTGCCCGCACTTGACTTATTGATGGTAGTCATTCTGGTAGGTGTGAGGTGATACCTCATTGTTGTTTTAATTAGCATCTCTCTGATGATTAGTGACTGAGCATTTTTTCATATGTATTGGCTGTCTGTATGTCCTCTTTGAAGAAGTGTCTGTTCAGGTCCTTTGCCCACTTTTTAATTGGATTGTTTGTCTTCTTGGTGTTGAGTTGTATGAGTTCTTTGTATATTTTAGAAATTAACCCCTTATCAGATGTATCATTGGTGAATATGTTCTCCGATACAGTGGGTTCCCTTTTCATTTTGTTGGTGGTTTTTTTGCTGTGCAGAAGCTTTTTAGTTTGATGTAGTCTCATTTGTTTATTTTTTCATTTGTTTCTTTTGCCCTGGGAAATGAGCAGAGCCAACTTCCCAGAGTGGTATTATAACAGAGAAATCGCTCTTTGCCTGGAATTATGTCTGAATCTCCCAAGTGGACCAGGTCCCCATTGATTCCCTCCACCCAATGCTGTGTGGGCTCCCCTTCCCTCTCTGTTGCTCTGGATTGGGGATCCCTGGGTGGAGCTGAGGCCTCACACTCTCATGGTGTGGGGCTCCACTGCCACAATATCACCTCGGCTTTCTAGCCATGCACTTACGCGACTTGGCTTGCCCTCTCATGTCTCCTCCTTTCTCTCCTCCATGCTCCCTCCTCTCAGTGTTTCAGATCAGCTACACTTTTACTGGTTTTTCAAGCCGAATGCTCTGCAGTGTAGCCACAAGTCTGGTCTGGTGTTGGGTGCAAATGGACTGAGCTTTTAGCCACTCTGCAGCCATCTTGGAATCCTGCATAAGTTTCTAAAAGCAATTGTTCCCAATCAGGGGTTATTCTGTCCTCACCCAGGAGACAGTTTGGGTTGGCACAATGAGGGGAGTGCACCTGACATCTGGTGGGTAGAGGCCAGGTATGCTGCTAACTGTCTCACAATGCACAGGACAGGCCCTCACAACAATTATCTGGCCCAAAAGGTCACTAATGCTAAGATTGAGAAACCCTATTGTAAGCTTCTGGGATAATTTATTAATACAGCATAACCTAACTTATGCTGGCTAATATAGCAACTACCACACTAATTTCATGATAGCCAATGTAGAAATAGTTGGGTTTAACCAGTTAGATACCTTGGTTATTAGGAAGACAGGTTTGAAAGAAACCCAGGTTATAAAAATGTAGGTGTCATACTCTGGCATAAGAGTTTGAAGGTGACTCAGGAGGTTCAGAAGCTTCCAGTTCCACCACTGTTACTGGGCAGATGCAAATATTCAAGATAAACAAAAACCAGGCAGAAAGGTCAAAAACTAGTATAGTGTCAGGTTGAGTTCTCCAGTGAACTCACATAGTAAAATAAGGGAGTTTTGTAATCAAAGATAAATATGAGTCTTCTACATTCCTCTAAAAATAGCATTGAAAAGCTATGTCACAAAGTTAATAAACTTTAGGCCTGCAAAAAGTGCTAAGATCCAAAGAGGGTTTTTTTGCTTGTTTTAGTTGTATCAGAAGCAAGACCAAGCAAGAAATGGAGCTCTTGTTTGATGCTTATGAACTAACAGAGAAAGCAGAACAACTCATCCAGGGTAGCCTTGTTTACTCCTCACTGGCCACCAGCCTCAGCAGGACTACCTACCTCCTGTTCTTCCACCATAGCTGATTCTCCAGCAGCCTTTTTGAGGCAGTGGGTCTTTTTAGCTCTGCCTCTGAAAGCTTTGCATGTACTTGCATTCTTGAATTATAATCACAAGCAATTACTGCCCTCCTTTGTGGCTTGGAATCACCCCAACTTTGAAACTTCGGAAATAAATGATAGATTTTATTTATTTTTTTGTTATTTTTAGAAATTATTTCTTTTTTTTAAAAACCTCACCTGAAGATATTTTCCCATTGATTTTTATTTTTTTAAATATGTTTTTTATTGATTTCAGAGAGGAAGGAAGAGGGAGAAAGAGATAGAAATATCAGTGATGGGAGAGAATCATTGATCAGCTGCCTCCTGCATGCCCCCTACTGGGGATGAGCCACAACCCAGACATGTGCCCTTGACCGGAATTGAACCTGGGACCCTTCAGTCTGCAGGTCAATGCTCTATCCACTGAGCCAAACCAGCTAGGGCACCCATTGATTTTTTAGAGAGGGAAAGACAGAGAGAAATATGGATGTGAGAGAAACACATTGATTGATTGCCTCCTGCACGGGCCCCAACCAGGGCTGGGGCTGGGGAGGAGCCTGCAACCATGGTATGTGCCCTTGACTGGAATCAAACCCCGGACCCTTCGGTCCACAGGCCAACACTCTATCTACTGAACCAAACCGGCTAGGGCTAAATGATAGATTTTAGATACACCTATCCTTTCTTAACATTCAGACCTACACAAGGATGGAATGCTATATTTCAGAGGCAGTGGTTCCCAGAATTAAAGTATTTTCAAGCAAAGGCCAGAGAGCTACTTGGTTGTCTATCCTCTTCCAGCCCTGATTGCCTATAATTCTAAATTTAAAACTTGAAGTCCAGAACAAATATTTCATCATTTGTCTCAATTCCTAGCATAGTTTAGCCATGTCTAAATTCAGGATACTAGGAAATAAATTAGCCAGTCTTTCTGTAGCCATAAAAACTCCCTTGAACCTTCTCCTTTCTCTGAGGATAGAAAGGGTAACTGCAGGGTCCTGATTGGAGTCTATGAGAATTTCCTCATCACATTAGTAAGCCTCTCTTGTCCACCTATCCAAAGCTGTTTGTTTCATTACCTACTGTCATGTCTCAGTCACCAAATCCATGTTCTAAAATACCTGCCTGTTCATTGTAGGCCCCACAAGTTCATAGAAGAATTACTAAGATGTGGTCAACAAGCCGTGTTAGCATGACAACAAGCCTGTTGTACACTTTGTCCTCACCAGTTTATTGAGTATAGGAGACTTAGTAAGAGGAACCATTTCTCTTCCCTCTCACTCTAATTCCGCTGAGTGATAAAAATCCTGCCTAATGCTTTCTCTTTTATGATAATAAGGATGAGGTATATAGCATTTAGAGCATATTCTTGAATTATAATATTCTTTATTAATCTCGATTATTTGTAAAGTTTATCTCAATCAAAAGTTCTAAAGTCAGCCATGGCCTGGTGGCTCAGTTAGTTGGGGCATCATCCTGTCACCAAAAAGGTTTCGAGTTGGATCCCCAGTCAGGGTGCGTACAGGAGGTAACCTGTTGATTTTTCTCTCTCTCTCTCTCTCTCTCTCTCTCTCTCTCTTTAAAATCAATAAACATATCCTCAGGTGAGGATTTTTTTTTTAAAGTTCTGAAATCAAAACAAGGGGATGGCTTAATAGTAAAGTGAGGCAAAGTTTAAGAAGAACTTACAATGTGGCATTTAAAAATTAAAATGTGTTTTACCGATTCCTAATTTTTCGTTTGTTGCAATAAATCATTCTAAGTTTTGTGCCTTCGTATTCTTGACCTTACAAATGTCTACCTGCCCCCCCCCAAAGAATTGTCAAGTCACAAGATAATAGAGATAGCAAATAAACAACCTTAAATCAAGCATTACTAGTAATCAAAGAAATACAAATTAAAATATCAAGTTACAGTTTTTTCCTATTAAAAGTTTTTGTTGTTTTTTTCTTTTGAACTTTTTCTTAATATTTATTTATAAACTACAAAGTAAGGTTGTGCTTCTCTATGCCTTCAATTCTAAAACTGTTTACATAAAATGAAAAGAAATATTTTTGGTTTTTTATTACAAAAATATAACACATCTTCATTGTAGAAAATAAGGAAATACAGATAAAAGATGTCACAGTGGCAACACAATTAACATTTCGTGATATAGATGTCATTCTTTTTCTTATTCATGGCTATAATGTATCTAAGAGTCTCTATTGAATTGCACGTGAATTTCTTGTCATTATAAGTAATGCTGCAGTAAACGTCCTGTCTGTCAATCTTATTTTTGCATCTCGGATTATTTTGTTGGGACTGGTTCCTAGAACCATTATTGCTGAGTCAAAGCATATTGCATTTTTAAGGCTTTTGATTATCTTTTGCCAAATTGCTGACAGAAAGGTTGTATCAAATGTACAAGAGCACTGGTTGATGCATTCTCTAGTCCAGCTCGTTTATGTTGTTTTCTTATCTTCACCGCTTTGATAACTCCAAAATGATATCTTGTTGTTTTAATTTGTACTTCTTTGTAATAATCAGACCATATTTTACATGTCTTAACAAAATACTACAAATTAAAGAAAAATCTTCATTGTCACATTATTTGTAAGAGAAAACAAACATGCACATACCCCTACATGTTCAACAAAAGGAAAACAGTTCAATAAAAACTATGATACTCCTAAACAATAAACTGTGCAGCTATTAAAACATTAAGTCTGCAAACTACTTTAACTTACCTGGGAAGAATATTTATTCTATAATGTTAGAAAGACACTAGAATGGTAAATTTTTATATGTAACTTGATCTCTACAATACTCTTTAAATGTTTAAGAAGAAGAAAACCTGAAAGGAAATATGCCAGAATGTAATTGCTTCTGTGTAGTGATAGGTGATTTTTAATATTTTCCACATTTTTTATAATTAACATTTGTGTCACTTTTGTGAAGAAAACACATTTTTGTTAAGTACACTGCATAAAAGGGTACACGAGAGGAGAGGAAACTATTCACCTGCAATTTGTGTAGCATGTATTCTAAAGATGATATTAAACATTTGATCCTTTAACAGGAACATGAACAAATAACATAAATAAGATTCTGGTGAGCAGTTAGTCAGTTGTCAAAATGTTAAAAGTTTCACATGCTTGAGAACGTGACAATTGTTGAAGCCCCTGAAAATGTAATGTCTATGTTCTGTTTGTTTGTTTCCTTCTTAGGTTGCTGCTGTTGACCTTCTGGTTCCTGGAGTTGGAGAGCTCTTTGGAGGAAGCCTCCGAGAGGAGCGATACCATTTCTTAGAGCAGCGGCTGGCCAGGTATTGGTCAGACCTAAAAGAAACAAAATTCAGAAATTGGGGACAGGAAACTCAAAGGCAGTCATGACAAAGTAACAGAGGACAGTTCACAGGCCGCAGCCGCTGGCAGACCTGAAATTCAGATTCTAGTGACCTTGAGCAAGTTGTTACTTGACCTTTCTTAGCTTCCCTTTCTTAACAAATGGAACTGTTACATGAAACAAGGCCACAATGAAAACTGCCTATTGTTTGTATTTATCTCTTCCTATGGAAATGGTTTTTTAAAAAGTTAATGATGGAAGGAGGAAGATTTCCCCATTAAAGCTTGCTCTTCATTTTTATTTTTCTCTTCTCTATGTTCTTTTTATTTACTATAAATTATGAGTCCTGTAGGGCCATAAAGAAACAGACTCTGAACCAGGAAAAGGATAAAGATGGAAATAGAAAGATACTAAAAATATCTGCTAAGCTATTTAGGATAAGCAGTTTTCCCTTCCTCAGATTTTCTACATTGTGTAAGGGTCTTGATTTAGCTATTTGAATAACTTACTTTAACTATCTGGCCAAGGCCTGGGAAGTGAATCGGTGAACACACAGAAAATGTTTTGAAGAAGAGAAATAGGGAATCGTGTTTCTAATTGAACTACCATTTCCATATATGCATGGTCTGCCAACACACCACAATGACTTCCTAAACTAACCAGGGTTATAAACCTCGGTCTTCCACTTTTGCTGTGCCAAACATTTTTTTAAAAAAGGCTTTCCCATGTTGAAGGCATAATCCTTCTCTCCAGATAATACTGGTACTTTTCAGAGTAACCTGGAAAGTAACCTGGAAAAGCCATAATTGTTTGAAAATATCCTGCTAAATTAGCCATTTGTAAGGCCTTCTTTACCTAATGGAAAAATGCTTTAAAAGTTGATGTTTTCCAAGGTCTCAACCTATAAATCTGTTGGGCAACTTGGTTTTGTAATTCTATTTACTTGAACTGCTCTATTTGGTTAGGTTCCAGAAGAAAGGGGATAAGTATGTTTTGGGAGGACTCTTTTTTATTAGCGTACTGACTCCTTACTATAACCAACATGTTAGAAAGTCCTGGGAAAATCGTGGAATTGAAGTAAAGGTCAAACTCCTTAGATGGAAAGAATTTAAAGATTCTCTGGGTGTGTTTTTTTGGGCTTTTTTAAAGCACAATAAAAATCACACATGGCAAGAAACCTCATCTGTTGAAAGATTAATTGCTCTGTTTTCTTTGCTTGCTTCCTTCCTTCAGGAAACCTTTCCTCATAACATTAAATATTTACCTAATATCTGATAATATCCAAATTTATCTTTTCTAATGAAATGGATATGCATTTCCATCTCTCTCTGATTCGTCTGTGACTTCTGTGTATGTGTTCTGTATTTTTGTATGTTTGCATTTTCATTGTCCTGATCACTTCAGATATACTGGTCCCAAACACTTTTTTAAAGGACTGAAATTAATTTTAATGAGTACTAAAAGCTAAAACCTTTTAACACTTAATTGGCAAAAGCCAATTAGCAATCATACTATGAAGGTAGCCTCAGAATCTATATTATTTTAATGTTATAGAGTGAAAGGTGTGTCTGTGTGTCCTTTGTTTGTGTGTGCCTCCCAACAACCTTCAGTAGCAGTAATAGTGCTTTTCTTGTGTGACAGGACAGTACACTCATCCAAATGAACCCCTGGGTCCTACTTGCCTCCTAAAGCATTTATTGACGAGGCCACTTATTTGATAACACCTGGGACTCTTGGTGGACGCGCCTTTCTGACCATACAGTAAAGGTGCAGCCCCTCAGCTAGGTTGCATGTTCTTTGAGAGTTAGTGTGCACTTCTCTGTAAAGAGCACACAACCCAGACAATGTTTAATGGTTAGTATGTGTGCCTTACTGACATTCTCTGAAAGAATTCTGTTGTATTCCTTTTACAGATCAGGACTGACAGAAGCCTACCAATGGTAAGAAGGAGGCCCCTAATGATTCTTCTAGCTGTTGGTTCGAGCATTACATGGTTTTTACTTGTATTCCCAAGGCATTGTGAAAGAGTGTTAGAATGAACAAGTTATCAGAAGATTACTTTTTTTTTTTGAGTCCTTGAAAAATAGTAATAATAATGGCTGCTATTTGTTTATTTATTACTTATTGTGTGCTGGATGACTGTGTTACAGTTTAGGTGTATATTATGTCATGTAAACAGCATAACACCCTGTGAGTTAGGTACTGTTCTTGCTCCTTTTTAACTGTGCCTCCAGACCTGAGGCCTAGAGATGTTAACTAACTTAACTAAGAGCACAGCAGTTAGAAGCATAGAGCTGGGACTTTGTTCCTAACCATTATGCTTCAGTTTCTATGTGAAATTGGGTGCTTGAACTAAGTGACCCCTAAGTGATCTTCGCCAACCTTAGAAATCTAAGCTGCTTAGGGAAGACCACCCGTCTGCACTCGTACATTTACTTCTCCAAAATTTTCTGGTTTTCTTTCCTCAGACCCTTTCTTCAGATACTTTTTTGTATATGCAGAATTTTAATTTATATTTCTGTAATAGACTCTTTCATGGTATTGGTATAATATTATCAACAATATTATTAATTCTTCACCTGTCCTCAGGAGAAGAAAGGGTTTGATTACACACTTGTCTTTTGGAAATGAAAGAACTAAATTTCAGAAATGCAAAAAGCCTAAAATTGGGTTTAAGTAATGGGCCTTGAATGCCTTGTTTTTTACCAGGAATGTCCTTAGGCATGGTTAATCTCTCTGAGTCTTGGTTTTCTTGGCTAAAAGATGGAATGATAATATTATTTCACAGGGTATTGTAAGGATAAATGAGACCGTATAGGTTAAGTATCTACATAGAGTAGAAGCTCGGTAAATGCTACCCCCTTCCCCCACCCCCGTCCTTCTGACTTCTGCTATTAGGTAGATGAGCCTGACTGATCAAGCGTATGCATTTTACCTCAGTTTCTGTCTGCAAGTATATGAAAACGAGCTAAATGCAAATTTTAATTATTGGTTAAATAAGTTTAGGCCTTTTCTGATCTTTATTGATAATTTCAATACTATTCTTTTTCCAACTAAAGTTGTCAAACTGTTAAGCTCTCTAAATAGAAAGATTTATTATTTGAATTTCCTTCCTTTTAAATGGTTACCCTAGTATTTGAAAGATAGAAGGGGTTTTCAAAATCTTCAAGTCTGTGACCTCTGCTAGTGTTCTATCCACTCTGAGTGGCCACACCAGGTGTCTAAGAATTTACTCACTTCCTATTTCTACATGCCATATGCAAGTAAAACCTGTAACTAGTTCCACAAATTCTGTACCATCTCTTTTATAATCTGGCTACCTAGAATAAACAACAATCCATCAAATACATATTCTTTAGAAAACTTGTTTCTAAGAACTGGATTTTTCCATCTATTGAAGCAAAGGCAAATAAATAAAATAAAGCAAAGGCAAGAAAAATACTGAATTCCGTTTCCAGACATTCATACCAGTGTTTTGACATCAAGTTATGAGAAGTTTAGAACTACCTAAAGCTTTTGCTGGAGTTCTAGCTGCCAGCTCAGATCCTGCAGGTGTTTGTGGCAGTGGTTTGATATGCCCTTCATCTCACTTTCTCACTAAATCAAAGTATACCCTGCCCCTGTGTCTTATAAACTTAAAGTTAATCCAGCTACCATACATTTCAATTGTTGAAGACTGTGTTCATCCATTATTCCTAACAGCTCTTACTGATCTGAAGTTTTATGCTATATGCTCCTGTGTGTAGATCTCTCACTTGGCTCTAACTCACCTAGTTGCAGTTCATATTTTATTTTAGAAAGATAAGTACTTAATCTTAACCACATAAAATACCTGTACATGTAGCCATGATTGTTAACAGTGGGAAAATAAGTGACAGTCTTTATCCTGGAGGAGCCAAATAACTCCCAGCTATGGCACTGAAGTTCTATTCTGGAACTGATTTTACAAATCATTCAAGAAGCTCTAAGCTTGACTTAATCAATATTATGTAACTCAAGAATTCTGCCACCAAATGACATAAGAAGATTTACAGAATCTTCCTCCTCCTCTTCTTTTCTAAAATAACCATATCCCAGGTTGCCGTATTGGCATTTTCTAGCCATCTTAAGTGGGCACAGAATGTTTATGAATGGGCTTCAGAGGCTGCCCAACCTTCCATAAAAATTACCCCGGACATCTTCCACTAGGCGTGAAGCAGAGAACTGGAAGTTTCTCCTCACTCCAGTGCTCACAAGTATATTTTTGTACCTTCAAACAATAAATCTTCATATAGTAAGTGTCTACTCCAGAGCAGGCACTGGAGATGAAAGGGTGAATAAAATGCAGGTCCTTCCCTTGATGTAGCTGACAGTCTAATCTAGTAGGACATACCTTTTTGTAATTTATCAGGCAAAATTCTTCACTTTCTTCTGTGTATGAACAGTATGATTTTGGTAAGAAAAAAAAGAGCACTATTAACATACTAAGAAATAGGAAAGGAATATATTTTGAAGAAAATTAGTAAAGTTATTAGAATATTTCCTGTGGCCTCATGAGGTAAGTTTTCTGTATATAATTAAATAAGTAACTTAAAAGAAAAAGGGTCAAGTAACTAAAGCCCATGAATGAATGAATGACAGGATTTGCTACTGTTTGTCTGGGTAACACTGGACAGATCATTTTTAACTTCTCTGTGTCCTTTATCTGTCTGTGGAGGGGAAAGACTGGTCTACCACAATGACGTGAATGATAAATGATTACAAAATACTTTGAAACATAAATTCTATTATAAACTCTGACCCTATATGGCATTTACAGGTTATGATTCTCTGTTTCTCAAAATCAGGTATCTGGACCTCCGTCGATTTGGATCTGTGCCACATGGAGGTTTTGGGATGGGATTTGAACGCTATCTGCAATGCATCTTGGGAATTGACAATATAAAAGATGTCATCCCTTTTCCAAGATTTACTCATTCATGTATTTTGTAACTGGAAGACTGGTTAAGGGAAATCATGCAAGCCAGAGGTGCTGCACACACATGTGCCTACAGGAGAACACATGTTTGGATTTTAGAAGTGAAGAAGAAGTTTTCAAAATGTACTTGTCATACCATAGCATATAACATGAAAAATAAGTGGTCATGATTTTCTTACAAAGTAGAGGCATTTCATAGAAAGATGAACTCTCCCAAGAAGAGGTACTTATAGACTGTAGAATCTCTAATCAATTATGTCAATTAAGAAGAAATGAAGAAATTGAAGTAGATGGTTTCAAAGGTCCTTTCAAACTCTAAAAGAGGATGAGATAGTGTACTTTGTCTTTAATGATTAGCTCACTGATTTGTGTGACCTTTGAGAAACAACCAGTAACTAAAAATAAAATGTTGGACCTTTTCTTTTTTACCATTTAACCTATGACAAATGCCCATCTTATTCTCTGTGTTTTACTAAACATTATAGAAGAAAATATTCCTTCTTTGGGTCTTAAGTTAATAAACTGCTATTCTGAATTGAAATCTTTTATCAGACTGGGTGAAAAAAATGACATTTAATAAATATTGAGCCTCAATAAAATGGATATAGAAGGAAAGTACCTTAATATAATAAAGGCCATATATGACAAACCCTCAGCTAATATCATACTCATTAGTCAAAAATTGAAAGCTTTCCCTCTAAGATCAGGGACAAGACAAGGATGCCCACTCTCACCACTGTTATTCAACATAGTACTGGAAGTCCTAGCCATAGCATTCAGGCAAGAGAAAGAAATTGTAAATGTATCCAAAAAGCAAATGAAGAAGTAATACTCTATTTGCAAATGATATGATTCTATATATCGAAAACCCTAACGACTCCACCAAAGACTTAGAAACAATAAACAAATACAGCAAAGTTGCAGGATACAAAATCAATGTACAAAAATCCATTGCTTTTCTTATACTAACAATGAAATACCAGTAAAAGAAATAAAGAAAACAATCCCATTAACATTTGCAACAAAGACAATAAAATACCTAGGAATAAACTTAACAAAGGAAGTAAAGGACCCATACACTGGAAACTATAAGACATTGTTGAAAGAAATTGAAGACACAAAGAAATGGAAAGATAGTCTATGTTCGTGGGTTGGAAGAATTAACATAGTTCAAGTGGCCATAGTATCTAAAGCAGTATACACATTTAATGCAATCCCTGTCAAAATCCCCATGGCATTTTTCAGAGAAATAGAACAAAAAGATCCTCAAATTTGTATGTAACCACAAAAGATCCAAGTAGCCCACACAATCCTAAGAAAAATAAAACCAGAGGTACCAAACACACCCTCTGACTTTAAATTATACTACAAAACTAAAATAATCAAAACGGTGTGGGATTGACAGAAAAATAGACACACAGACCAATAGAATAGAATTGAGAGCCCAGAAATAAACCTACACATATATGAGCAACTAATTCTCAACAGAGGAACTCGAAACACAATAGAGAAAGGAATACCTCTTGAATAAATGATGTTGGGAAAATGGAAAAGCCACATGGAAAGGAATGAATTAGATTGCCGTCTGACACCATACACAAAAATTAATTCAAAATGGATTAATTAAAGACTTGAATATAGCCCAGCCAGCATGGCTCAGTGATTGAGCATTGACCTATTAACCAGGAGGTCACAGATCGATTCCCCATCAGGGCACATCCCAGGTTGCGGGCTTGATCATCAGTGTGGAGTGTGCAGGAGGCATCTAATCAGTGATTCTTTCTCATCGTTGATGTTTCTGTCTCTCCCTCTCCCTTTCTCTTTGAAATCAATCCTATCTAATATCCTATCTAATAAAGAGGTAATATGCAAATTGACCATCACTCCAACACAAGATGGCTGCCCCCATGTGGTCAAAGATGGTCGCCACAAGATGGCTGGCAGGGGAGGGCAGTTAGGAGGGACCAGGCCTGAAAGGGAGGGCAGTTGGGGGGGACCAGGCCTGCAGGGGAGGGCAGTTGAGGGGACCAGGCCTGCAGGGGAGGGCAGTTAGGGGCAATCGGGCCAGCAGGGGAGCAGTTAGGCGTCGATCAGGCAGGCATGGGAGTGGTTAGGGGGTGATCAGGCTGGCAGGCAGAAGCGGTTAGGGGCAATCAGGCAGGCAGGCAGGTGAGTGGTTGGGAACCAGCAGTCCTGGATTGTGAGAGGAATGTCCCAGATTGGAGAGGGTGCAGGCTGGGCTGAGGGACACACACCCCACCCCACCCCACCCCCCCTGCACGAATTTCGTGCACCGGGCCTCTAGTATAATATATGACTTGAATATAACACCTACCTAAAACAATAAAATACAAAGAAGAAAACATAGATGCAAAACTTTTGTGAACTTGACCCCAAAGGCAACAGAAGTAAAAGCAAAAAGAAATGAATGGGACTGTATCAACTAAAATGCTTCTTTCTGCACAGCAAAAGAAAGCATCAACAAAACAAAAAGGCAGCCAACCCAATGGGAGAAGAAATGTACAAATGCTATTTCTAATAACAGGCTAATATCCAAAATATATATTTTTTAAAACTCACATAATTCAACAACAACAAAAATCCAATAAAAACGAGCAAAGGACCTGAACAGACCTTTTCCCCAAAAGGACACATAGATGGCCAACAGATATTTGAAAAGATGCTCAACTTCACTGCCTGTAAGGGAAATGAAAATCAAAACCATAATAAATCACCACCTCATACCTGTTAAAATGCCTATTATCAATAAGATAGGAAATAACAAATGTTGGAGAGGATGTGGCGAAGAGGGAATCCTCGTTCACTGCTGATGGGAATGTAAATTGGTGTAGCCTCTGTGGAAAACAATATGAGGTTCCCAAAAAATTTAAGAAAAGGGCTACCATATAACCAGCAATCTCTCTACTGGGCATCTAACTGAAAAAGTTGAAAACATTTATTCATAAAAATATGTAACCCTGTGTTCACTGCGGCATTATTTGTGGTAGCCAAGAATGGAAACAACCTAAGTATTCATTGATGAATGATTGGATAAAAAAGAAGTGGTACATATATACAGTGGAATACTACTCAGCCATAAGAAAAGATGAATTATTGCCATTTACGACAGCATGGATGGATCTTGAGAATATCATGTTAAGTGAAATAAGTCAGATGGAAATGGACAAGAACCATATGATTTCAGTCTTTTAGGGGATATAAAACAGAAAGCAACAAACAAAGAAAACAAACTCATAGACACAGACAACAGTATGGTGGCTACCAGAGGGGAATGTATGGGGAGGATGAAGAGGGTAAAGAAGGTCTAATGTATGGTGATGGAAGACTGGACTTTGAGTGGTGAGCACACAATGGAAAGTACAGGTGATTTATTATCAAGTTGTACACCTGAAATTTATACAGTGTTAATAACCAATATTGCCCCAATAAATGTATTTTTAAATTGGCTTTTTACTTATAAAAGCTAATGAGAGATATTAATTATTTAAACTAATCACTATTGTGTTGTGATGTTATAACTTCTCTAATAAGTAGTAAAATAGATTTTTGATATCTATGAAAGAAAAAAAAATAGTTATATTTTAAAATTCCATTTGTCTTTTTCCTGGGGAAATTTGAAAAAAGGTATTTTCAATCCAAATTGAAGATGAAAATATAGTTAAACCTAAAGGCTAGGTAGTTTGGGAGTCAAAAGTGATGTTGTTTCTTAGAGTGAGGAGATGGCTGATTCAGGAGTTTGCGGCCTGACAGTCCCAGCACCTTCCATGTGTGATTTTGGACAATGAGCTCATACATCATTTTCCTCAAGTTAGTAAGTACATTAAAGTGTGTGTAAAACTGAGTCGCCACACAATTTTATAACTTTGCTCTTAGTCTTCATTGAGTTACGTATATGTAGACTATAGCTTGCATATTCAGTAGAATTTGTATTATCAAATAATTATAAAAAGGCTTTCATGCCTGAATAATCAACTTTCTAAGTATCATTAGATGATTTACTATGGGTCATTTATATGTGAAGTTTATTTTAACCTAACTCAGAATCAGCTGAAATGAACTACAGAATCTTAGAGTGGGAAGTCATGGAAGTCACTGAGAGTTCAAGGTCAAACTCCTGGCTGATGCAGAGAGATCTTGTGTGCCTGGGCAGCATCCCTTGGCACAGAGCTCAGTAGCCCACAAAATAGCTCATTTCATTTCTGAATCTCTCTAGTTGATAGCTTTTGCTGAGCTAAAATCTACTTCCCTGGAACTTTAATACCTTGGACTTAGAAACCAAGTTTAGGACAGAATAAAAGAGATAAGTAGGGCTTCCATAGGTTTACTTCAACCATGAGCTACAGATAGAAATTCATTTGTTTATTCAACAAATACTCTCTGAGTTTATTCTATATACTAAGAACTGTGAAAGGTACTTAATAAACAGTAATGAACTAAACAGAAATGATCCCTGCTGTCATGGAATTTACAGTCTATTAGAAAAGACACACAATCAGTAAGTAAACAAAATGTATTATTTTAAAATAGGACATGTGTTATAAAATATAAAGCACAGGTCAAGCATAAATAAACTTGCTAGAGAAGACATCTCTGAAAAGGTGATATTTAACCTTAGAATTTGAAGATAAAATGCAAAAACCATTTTAAAGCATTTGCAACATCAGCCAATACTGATTTGGCATTCAGGTCTCCATACTGTATTGATTTTGTGGAGCAAGAATCAACAAACATTCACAGGCCCCAAACCTGGATGCACTAATAGTTTCTGAAGCTAAAAGGAATCATGCCTCCATTGATTTTTGAGCAACTGGATAGAATTGTAAAGTTAACATGTTGGTTGGATATTAAAAGTAAGTGATAAAAAGAGTATTGAATTAGAGGACTCCTAGGTTCTGGTCCCAGTGCCACCACTAATTCACCTGTGGAGCATTAGCCAAATAAGATCATCTTTGTGGCCTCCAGTTATTTCATCTGCAAACCTATCATCTTAAAGAAGATGAACTCTGGGGATCCTTCTATCTCTTAATCGTACATGAACATGTGCTGGACATATTCACTCACAATTGATGTAGAGGCTAACCTTTAGATGTTATGTTAGTACATACTAGGTCTCCAAAATATATGGGGAAGTCAAAATCACTGAAATTGTGACAATAGACTTACGTGTATGGGGCGGGGGGGGTCCATGAACTGGGAATATTTGACTCAAAGAGTCAAATGCCCATTGTTCCTTACCTTTGTGATAGTCTTCAGATGTAGATTTTTAAACTTTCACACTTGTTTATTCTCTTCCTTCACAATTGATCACATGAAGAGTTTCTTCTTAAAGCCAAACACTTGCCACTTAGGACAAGCCTAATTACTGCCACCTTTGGCTCCATACTTCTTTCTTTACCAAAAATTGAACAAAAACAAACATTGATGTCAGACTAAGATGAAGAAAATGCCAAAGCAAAGTGTTGCTTGTGGATAGCATCAATGGGAAGAAACTTTAAAATGTCCACTTGTCAGCTGATGCAT